TTAGTGAGGGTTCTAGAAACTTTATGTGTTGTTTTATTAGTGTTTTACCACTATAAAGAAGACACACTTATCATAAAAGTTGTCTGTTGTACAGAAAGTGGAATGTGAAGTCTTCTCCACCTTCCAAAATTCCCAGTCCAGCTCTTCAGCAGAAAACAGGGTTGAGCATTTTCTTATGTCCTTCTAGAAACTATCTGTGTATCCTAACCACATGTGTATCTCTCCTCTTTTTTAATGAAATTGATAGATTCATACCATAAAGGCTGTTCTGTGGGTAGCTTTTACGTACACATAAAGATGTACTTTGGATTTCTTTCCACAGTATAGCCTGATCTAACTCATTCGTTTTTTATTGTGCAGAATGGGTGTATCTGGGTGACTCAGTCAACTGAGCATCCGGCTTCGGCTCAGATCATGATCTCGCAGTTTGTGGGTTCGAGCCCCACATTGGGCTCTGTGCTGACAGCTCAGAGCCTGGAGCCTGCTTCAGATTCTGTGTCTCCCTCTCTCTCTTCCTCTCCCTTGCTCATGCTCTGTCTCTCTCTGTCTCAAAAATAAATAAACTATAAAAAAAGTTTTATTGTGCAGAATGCCCAAGGTACAGATAATGACAGAATTTGAGTCTGTTACTGATGATATTTTAGATTATTTCCAGTTTTCACTGATAGAGACAGTGCTGCAGTCTGTAACGACCTTATCTGTACATCTGTCTTTACACATTGTTCAAGTATATCCAAAAAATATACTTGATCCTAGTACTATTGTGGGTCAAAGGATGAGGGTGTTTAAAATTCTCATTAGTAGCAGCACATTGCTCTCTTAGATGGGTGTGCTAATTTGCATTTCAAGTTTAACTCTAAGAAGAACCAAGGCTTAGGGACTGTAAGAGTGTAAACAATCTGACCCAGTTTCTCAAAGGTAGAAACTAGTAGAGTCAGGTTTCAAACATAGATCCACTCACACTTTTTCTTCTAAGCTACAGATGTCTTCAGCTGCCGTTTTAAAGCGTAATTTGGCTTTAAAGCCAGGAAGCATTATTCCTTATCTTTTTATATTCTTTTTTTTTTTAATGTTTTATTTATTATTTCTAGGAGAGAGAGAGACAGCGTGAGCAGGGGAGGGTCAGAGAGAGAGGGAGTCACAGACTCTGAAACAGGCTCCAGGCTCTGAGCTGGCAGTCAGCACAGAACCCGACGCGGGGCTCGAACCCACGAACCGCGAGATCATGACCTAAGTGAAAGTCGGACGCTTAACCGACTAAGCCACCCAGGCACCCCATATCTTTTTATATTCTTAATACTCAAGCTGTTATGATAATTTTTCCATTATAAATACCCAGCCCTTTATGGTTTTGTATATTGATTTTATATCCTGCAACTTTACCTAATTCATTTATTGTAACTTTTTTTTGGTGAAATCTTTCAGTTTTCTGTATATATCATGTAATCCATAAGTAGTGACAGTTAACTTCTGATTTGGATGCCTTTCTTTCCTTTTCTTTGCCTAATTGCTGTGGCCAGGACTTCCAAGACTGTGTTAGATAGAAGGGATGAGACTAGACTTCCTTTTTTTGTACCTGGTGAAGGAAAAGCTTTCAGCCTTTCATGGAGTATGATGTTAGCTGTGCGTCTGTCATATATGCCTTGTATTATGTTGAGATGTGTTCCCTTTATACCCACTTTCTTGAGAGTTTTTGTCCAAATGGATGTTGGATTTTGTCAAAACCCTTTCCTACATCTGCTGAGATGACTGTATGATTCTTACCCTTTGCCTGGATGGTGGTGGGTCATGTTGTCTGGCTTGTGAGTGTTGGACCACCCTTGTATCCCTGAAATAAATCCCACTGGATCATGATGTATGATCTTTTAGTGTGTTGTTGAATTCAGTTTATTAATATCTTATTGAAGATTTTTGTGTCCATGTTCGTCTGGGATATTGGTCTGTAATTCTCTTTCCTTACAGTGCCCTTGTCTGGTTTTACTGTTGGGATAATGCTGGCCCCATAAGATGAACTTGGACTTGTCCTACCTCTTCTAACCCCTTAATTATTTTCAAAACATTTTCATATGCTCATTGTGGTCCTAGGAGATGGACCTTGGTTACTATCCTGATTAATACATGTGAAGAACTGAGGCTCAAAGAAAAGAGAAATTAAAATTTAAAAAGTAATCAGAAGATAGTCCTTGATCAAACACCGTATCACCCCCAAACTGCCGATGCACGAAGACGTAAAGATGCTCGTAGAAAAGGTGAATTGAGGGCTGTGGGACTGGTGGCTTTGACTGTATCGATACAGGCATATTCTATTCATGAAATACAGGAAGACACACTAAAACAGGCTGTGGAGGGGGGGGCCCGCTGTCGCACCCCAAGCCGGTCCCTCAAGTTTCCTCTTGGCTGCCTCCATTTGCAACCCCGGGAAAGTGGACGATGACTACAGAGTCATTGTTCACAGGCATTCACTGTGTTTGACCCAACACTGGCTTTAAACTTCACCGGAATTACTGTTACTACCGCTTTTGTGATCTCGTGGCATTACACTTGTCACCATAGTGTCATCTTACTGTGTTGGCTCTTCTGTCCCATCAGCTTTCCTGTCACCTCTGTCTTCGGCTCAGACCAAGTTTTTTTCTCATCTGTCGCAGTTTTAAAGAAAGATCTTTCCCTGTATAGACATCGGGTTCGTCTTTGACTTCAGATTGAAACTTTGCTGTCTTCCTGACCACCTGAATTCCTATACAAATGCATCTACCAAACTTCGTTCATGGACATTTCTTAGAATAATTTCTTTTCTGGGGCGCCTGGGTGGCTTAGTCGGTTAAGCGTCCAACTTTCGCTTAGGTCATGATCTCGTGGTTTGTGGGTTCGAGCCCCGCGTCGGGCTCTGTGCTGACTGCCAGCTCAGAGCCTGGAGCCTATTTCAGAATATGAATCACTCTCTCTCTGACCCTCCCCTGCTCATGCTGTCTCTCTCTCTCTCTCTCCTAGAAATAAATAAAATATTTAAAAAAAAAAAAGAATAATTTCTTTTCTGTTTTTGCTTTTAATTATTTTTTACTTAAAATTCACAACTTATTTATAAAGTCAATTTGATTGTTCCTATTTTATGATTAAAGAGACTGAAGCATAGAATGCTCATATGACTTCCTTCAAATACAAGCCAGTCAGAGTTCAAATTATTCTTTACTTTCCACTGGTTCTTACTTCATCAGAAGAAGCCTTCAGGGATGCCTGGGGAGCTCACTCTGTTGAGTGTCCGACTTCAGCTTAGGTCATGATCTCATGATTTGTGGGTTCAAGCCCCACATTGGGCTCTGTGCTGACAGCTCAGAGCCTGGAGCCTGCTTTGGTTTCTGTTTCCCCTCTCTGCCCCTCCTCTGCTCATGCTCTGTCTCCCTCTCTCTCAAAAATAAACAAACATTTAAAAAAATTTTTTTAAAAGAAGTCTCCAGGTTAAGGACCAGGTTACATTCCAAAAATTTGTAAGTCAGTTATTTGGTGTTTGGACTGCATTTTACAAAAGTGGGGGCGGAGTGGAGATGTTCTAAGGGATGATTAGGCCCCTGGCTGCCCTACAGAAATCTATTTAGCTCTTATGTAAGTAGCAGATGATGCATTTGCAGCAAAAATAAGAGAAAATGATCGTTGTGATTCTTGTTACAAAGCTCTTTCTCAGGAGAAGCATCCAGTTACAAGACAGGGAAACAGGTGGAATCCGAGGGTCTGCAGGGACGTCAGGGCAAGGGGAGGGCTGTCACAGGCCATGACATTCTGTCTGAAGCCCAGTTTCTTGTTAAGCCTTGAGGATTCAGGTTGTTGTTAGATAGTTGGCTGTGACTAGCATCCGTAGGATTGATGGACAAATAGACTCTCTGAGGATAGTAACGAACCTGATGGTGAAAACAAACCAAAAAAACCAAAGAACTTGTCCCCTTGGATTCCCTTGTTGGGGAGGAGGGAGTTGTTGGGTCCCCAGCAGTGGGGGCAGCTGTGCCCAGTTCTGCAGAGCAGGGAAGGTCCCGGGTGGAGGGTTAGGAGCCGTGACTGCATGTGGAGTGTTTGTCCCAGGAATGTCTGGTTCCGGGAGCATGGATCTCACACAGCCAGGCCTCCATGCGCTCCGGCAGACAGACAAGCATCTAAGGTTTCAGTTGGCTTTGATAAAAGTCCAGCGCCCCTTCAACATCCTCTGATGTATGTCTTACTGTTCCTGGAATATTTGCATCAGCTTTTTTGTTGTTGTTATAGCAAACGGGGATACATTCTTCAGCAAAAGGAAACTGAGGTGACAGACCCTCCCTGAGGTGGCCTCGGGGTGAGACCATGAGATCATGACTTGAGCCAAAAGCTTAACCAGCTGAGCCACCCTGGCATACAGTGTTCTTAGGATTATTCAAATTATTTTAACCTGCACAGCTTACTGCCCTCAGGGTGGCGCTTTGGTTTGTCCATAACGCCTGCGGCATCACACCCATGCCTGGGGGAGGGTTCAGGGGCCATGTGGTTGCTCCTCTCTTCCCTCCTATACTGTTCTGACTGCTCCCGTGTACTTCCCGTGGGGACAGGGACGGGATGGGGACAGTACTGGGAGAGGATGGGGATAAGACTGGGTTGGGGACAGGGATGGGGATGAGGATGGGATGGAGATGAGAACTGGACAGCGATGGGACGGGGGTAGGGACAGGACTGAGATGGGGACGGATGGAGACAGGGACAGGGATGGGACTGGCACAGGACTGGGATGGGGAAGAGGACTGAACAGGGACAGGATGGGGACGGGGACAGGCCTGGGATGGGGCAGGACTGGAGGAGCAGTGGGTCTGAAAGCAGAGGTGGGAGGTGCAGTCGGGATGGGCTCTCCAGACACACAGAGCATCCCGGTCCCCGTGCAGATGGTGCTGTGTGTTACCCCCACTGTCTCCTCCCCATAGACAGCTTCCCGCCCTGACTGCCTGTCTGCCCTCCCGTCACTGGATGGTTTTCTGTCCTTTCTCTTGTAGGGCTGAGAAACTGGAGCATGGCCGTGAGCAGCGGGAACTGCGACTTTGTGGTTCTGAGCAGTGGCGGCCCTGGCGCCCTCACGACCTGCAACGGGGACCTCGCTGCCTGCCAGCTGTCCCCCGCAGAAGCACCCGGAACAAAAGTGAGCGTAAACGGATGCCCTCGGGTGAACGGTGCAGTGAAGTCATCCCTTCTGGCCACCGACAGCCCGCAGCGAGTCCCCGCCATGTGCCGCTGCCCCGTGTGCCCATCCTGTCCCCCGGAGCCCCAGCCTGACCCTGGCCCGGCCCCCTGCTGCCCGCGGCCATGCTCCGACTTCCCGGCACCCCTCTGTCCACACCGCGCACCCGCCTACCCACCCGCCTGCTGCCTGCAGCCCCCGGCCTGCTTCTGCCCACACCGCCCATGGCCTGGCCGCCTCCCGCACCAGCCCGCGCCGCAGTGCACAGTCAGCGCCAGGTGAGTGTCCGGCTCTGCACTCAAGGGGAAACTGTCAGAGGAGGGGACCAACTGTCAGAGCTGAGATAAGCTCCTGATTCCGTCTGCCCAGTCCCACCCAGACCCTTCCTCCCTCCCCGCTGGTGAGGCCGTTCCATGGCCCCCGTGGCCTTGGCTTCCAGAGGTCAGTCAAGCTTGTACCGTTCACCATTTCTGCTACCTTGTGGAGGACACATTTGAGATGTGACTGCCCACACACGAGTCTTGATAGTGACCAGCCTTTATGACAAAGGAGCAGGAAACCACCGGCTTCCTGCGGCGTGTAGGGTCAGACCTCCCAAGTGCGTGTAACCCAAGGTGTGCAGCACAGAGCCTTGGACACTGCGCGGCGGGAACCATTTTGGGGTCTGGCAGACTGAAAAGCCGCAGCCGTCTGGGTCCTCGCCGGCTCCCACCATTCCTGGCACGTGGTTCCTGACCTCGGGCATCGCGGGTGGCGACGTCAGCGGGTCTGATGAAACACTACGCCCTCCCAGTGACCAGGCACCCCCTCCCATTTGCAGGCGAGCAGGGCTGCAGGAGCAGGAGCGCGCTCTCCTTTCCCGCTGCGTGTCCAGTTCAGCTGTCGGAGGTGCAGCGGCCTGGCACGCAGGCTGGCCAGCACCGACCCTGCGTGGTCTGCATCTTGGCCCACGAGGCACGTGCCTTTCTGGGGCAACTGGGAAAGGCCTCTCCTGCTGCCGTGTTGAGACCACATGTTGGTTTTGCCTGCTCAGAGGCTCGTGGGATTGGAATTCTGCAAGGGTTTCACATCGGGCAGTTTCAGCTCAGTGTAGTGTTCCTGAGACCCACCAAAGTGCTAAGTGCCTTAGTTTCCTTTTCTGTTGCTGACCGCTATCCACTGTCCATGTGTGACAAATGCACTTTTACTTAAAGAGTCAGTACAGACTTCCAGTCATAAGTCCTGAGGGTCTAATATACGGCATGCTGACTATGGCTGATAACACTGTATTATATACTTGATTTTTGTGGTTTTTTAAAATTTTTTAATGTTTTATTTATTTCTGAGGGAGAGACAGTGTGAGCACAGGGGAGGGTCAGAGAGAGAGAGGGAGACACAGAATTAGAAGCAGGCTCCAGGCTCTGAGCTGTCAGCACGGAGCCCGATGCGGGGCTCGAACCCATGAACTGTGAGATCATGACCTGAGCCGAAGCCGGATGCTTAACTCACTGAGCCACCCAGGCGCCCCAATTTTTTATTTTATTTTTTTTATTTTTAGAGATTTTATTTTTAAGTAATTTATTTTTAAGTAATCTCTACCCCCAATGTAGGGCTCATACTCAAAACCCTCAAGATCAAGAGTCATACGCTCCCCCGACTGAGCCAGCCAGGTGCCCGTGTATCGTATATTTGAAAGTTGCTAATAGAGTAGAGCTTAAAAATTCTGATGGCAAGGAAAACTTTCTGTGACTGTATGTGGTGACAGATGATAACTAGGTTTTTGGGGGGTGCTAATTTCACAATGTATACAAATATCAAATTAGGTTGTGCCCCGAAACTAATATATTGCTATTTGTCAATTATACCTAAGTAAAAATGAGAGTCAGATCCCAATGGGGATCAAGTAATAAATACTTTTCACCTTTATCGGGTTCTGGTTCCTGTTGACGTTACCTGGTTTCAGTGTTTTAAAAAGAGGGGAGAGAGAGATGGGGAGAGTCCACAGGGCTCGGCCTGGGGAACATTGCTCGTGTTCCTGCAGTTTCTATACACACTGTCCACATCCCGGGTGAGGGGCCTACAGACAGGGGTAGGGGACACTTGCCAAAGCCATTTCCCGGGGGGCGGGGGGGGTGGCTCTTGGAAGCCATTTCCCAGACACGTCCTGCCAGCATCGTGTTGTGTGACCAGCTTTCCACTTTGAGTTAATCGATGTAAGTAGGTGACTTTGAAGTTATATGGTCGTTGATATTGATGCTTTAGAACCAGCAGTTATGTGGTTGCATGGTGTAAGGGGAAACAGTTCTACATTTGAAGCTGACCCCTCCTTTAAAAAACTTCACAAAATATTAAAGCTACGGGCAGGGAACCAATCTTGTAATATGGAAGGTGCACAATGTTGTCAGGACTCAGCATTTCTCAAAAACCTATTTTTAAAGGGAGGGGAGTTCTATGTACATGGAACTTTAAGTAGAATGGCGTTAAACACAGATAAAAATGCCATATTTGTCCATCAAGAAAAGTTACAGAACGAAGTGTGGGCTATTATGTGGGATATTTTTCATGTTTAGAATTTTTTTCTCAAGAACTTGACCCTTTTGATCCACTACTTATCACCGACATAGATTCTTTCAAGGATGCCTGCGAAGGAGGGGTTCTGTTTCCAGTTGTGTCTGGGACACACTTTACTGTAAGATGTGTGGTGCTGAAGCTCCTGCCTTGTTTCGTACACTTGCTAATTTATATTATCAGTTTTTACTGGGTACTCCCATGTGCCAGGCATAGAAGATGTCATTCTAAATAAGGGGAGATGGTTTTGCCTCACAGAGCCGTAGGTGGTGGAAAGGGAAAGGAAAGCAGGGACACACTGGCAGCTGCGATATTGTGAGGCGCGGATGGCGTGCAAACACAGACACAGTTTGTCCGTGACTTGCCCAAAGCTCAGAGCCCCGCCGCTGCCGCAAGCAATGTGCCTGGAGCCAGGAGGACGGAGCGTGGGGCGAGAGGGGAGGGGCCCGACCCTGACCCCAGGGTTCCTGTAGAGCACAGGAGGGCGATCTCTGGACCTTGTCCTGAGCCTAGGGGTGGGTGTCTTGGATTTTTGTGCGTGCATACATCTTTTATTGCAGAAAAATATACCCACCGTCCAATTGGCCACTGTGGCCACTTTAATGGGCACTGTTCAGTAGCAGCAAGTTACATCCATGCTGCTGTGAAATCACCACCACCATCCGCCTCCAGAACATTCAGCACCTTCCCAAACTGAAACTCCGTGCCCACGGAGCACTGTCTCCGCCTGGTCGCTCCCCGGCTCCCACCGTCCCATTGCCCGTCCTTGGCGCGGACAGCTCTCGGCACCTCGTATGCGGATCGCACAATGTTTGTCCTTCTGTGACCGATTCACTCCTTGTGGTGTTTTCAGGGCTCCTCTGGGTTGGAGCGTGTGTCAGACGTGCACACGTGTGTGCCCATGCGTCTGGTGGTGAGGACACACATCTGGTGATGGACACCTGGGATAATTCCACCTGTTTTCTCCTGCAAATAATGCTGCTGTGGGTTTGGGTGTGCATACACCTCTTTGAATTCCTGCTTCTCATTCTCTGGGGCACATTCCCAGAAGCGGAGTTGCCAGATCCAATGATAATTCTGTTCTTAGTGTTTTGAGGAAACACCAAACTCTTCCCTCAGCTGCTGTGCTATTCTGTTCCCGCCAGCAGCGCACACCCTTGACAACATGTTATTTCACAGTAGCTGTCCTAACGGGGGTGATATTGTGGGGTTTTAAGCATAAAAGATACACAATCACAATTGCGTCTTGGAGAAGGCTATCACCTGCATTGTGGGGGGTGGGCCGGCATGGATGGGACGCCACCGGCATGGACTGACATGGGCCCGCACTGTCGCGGACGGGGGACCACCAGAATGTTCGTTGCAGGATTTCAGGTGAAAGATGGCAGGATTTAGAGAAAATTTCAGCTAGCAGGGCTTACAAGAGAGAATCTACTGGATGTGGAGGCAGGAAGGGAAGAAGAATCGTGGCTGGTGCTCAGTTCCCTGGCTGGAGCAGCTGGGTGGGCGGGTGGTGAGACCCTTCACCGCAGCAGGAGCTCCTGGAAGCAGGCAGAGCTGAGGCGCGTTGGCAGCACCGAGAGAGGTGCTCGGGGTGACGCTCCTCCCCCACTGAGGCAGCAGCACTGCTGGGGGCTGTCTTCAGAGGAAGACCAAAGCCCTTGGACCAGGCTCAGTGCGTACGTACTTGCCTAGTTGTGCTCCAGGCAAGGTGCTGACAAGGTGTGGACAGAGGTGCCATGTCTCTTGAGCCCGGGAGACGCCCGTGAAGCGAGTGTAGGTGCAGCTGTAGCTTCTGCGTCGGAGGCAGTGTGTGTAGGACGTCCTCACTGGGAAATCCTGAAAACGAGGCTGCCACGTGGTGCCCTGCTGCCTTCCCTTGTCCCCTGCCCGACACGGGAAACCTGCTGGAACAGCGGCTGGTCTGTACCGTGAACTTGCACTCGGAACCTCTTCCTTTTCCTTCTGTGCTTTATTGCGTGTTGCCTTTTTATCGATAATCTCAAATAGTCTGTGATGACTCAGTTAATGTGTAGGTTGTATCGTGACTTGGTGAGGGTGTACATGCTTGCAGGGCCTCGCAGGGGTCCTGGAGGCTGCGCCCCTGCAGGAGAAGGGCGTGCACACAGAAGTCACACATGCTGTCTGCACCCAGGCCACAGATGGGCCCGCCTGGTGGGTGTTTTGTTTTTTGGAGTTTTATTTGTTCATGACACATTTAAACCAGAGAGAATGTTTTCAAGAGTGAGTCAGGTAGAAACTGTAATTTTGTCCTGGCCCGTTTGCAGTTGTCTCCTTCTTCACCTTCTGCTGTAAATGGTAGGTTCTGTTCTATCCTTTCTTGGCTCTTTAGGCTCAGCACTTCTTTCTAAAGATTCATTTGATCAGTCACCTGATGGGCTTTGTTGCTTTATGAATGACCTGTTGCTGTTTTGATTGATAAAATCACTGCCAGGATCACAGTATATCCTATCTTAATCCCATTTATCACCAAATACTAAGTAGCTTACGTAGATTCTTCATTTGTAGATTCCCATTGTCATACCCACAGTCTGCCCCTTCATTCACGTGTCTGATGGGGAACACCCAGGAATTGAGAAAGGCCGGAAGTAGGTCTTCCTACCAAGAGGCAAGGCCTCCACCCAGCTGGGCATCAGAATCACAATAAACAAGTATGATGATAATGATGTTTCCTTTGCACTAGAGAAAAATACACAACTCTAGGCCTTCA